AGACATCTGCCCCCCCCAAACCCTGTGACCTCTGACCCCTCCCCGAGCACCCCCTGACCTCTCCCCGTCGTCCCCTCCCCAGGTTTCCTGCAGTGCCTGGACTCGGGCGCGGCCGACGCCGCCAGCCGCTGCTCCGCCTACATCCGCAGCCTCTCCTCCTCCGGCCTGGTGCGGGTGCTGGGCCCGGGTGAGGCGCCCCCTGCTGGCTGCGCTGTGGCCGTCGCCTCCGACAAGTGCACCGTCCACCTGCTGCTCAAGGTGAGAGGGGCCGGGGAAGGGGACCCAGGCGTCCGGGCCGCCAGCACAGGGCTCTCACCCCTAGGGGGCTGGAGACTGGCATGGGGATTAGACCCAGGTGTCCAGGGCGGCCCTGCGGGGTGCTCTCCCCTAGACAACCAGAGCAGTGAGTGGGACCCAGGCGTCCGGGTGGCCCTGCAGGGGGCTCTCCCCTAGATGACCAGAGCAGTGAGCGGGACCCAGGTGTCCGGGGGGCTCTCCCCACAGAACCGCAGCCAGCGAGCGGGACCCTGGCATTTGGGTGGCTGACGGGCAGGGCTCTGTGCTCCCCAGGGTCTGATCGACGCGGAGAAGGAGATTTCCAAGCTGGCCGGGAAGCAGGGTGAGCTGCAGAAGCAGATCGAGCGGCTGCGGGAGCGGATGGGAACCCCCGATTACGGCACCAAGGTGCCCCCCAAGGTCCAGGAGGCCGACGCTGCCAAGGTACCCGGCTGCCCCCCCGGCGGGGGACTCCCACCCTCATGCTTCAGGGCAGGGCCCACCTGCTGGGGTCAGGAAGGGACGGTCCTGCTTGGGGCGCTACGAGCGGGGGGCTGTTCTGGGGGGCTTGGGAGGAGATGCTGTGCGGGGGGGAACGGGGCGCTGTGATGTGGGGGGCCAGGCAGGGGTTGGTGTGTTATCGGGGAGCCAGGCAGGGAGTCTGGGGGAGGTGCTGTGCTGTAGGGGGCCGCGTCCCATCCCCACCCTTCACGCCCGGCCGCGTGTCTCCCGCAGCTGCAGCAGAGCCGGACCGAGCTGCAGAAGGTGACGGAGGCGGTGGAGACTTTCCAGAGGATGATCTGAGACGGACGGCCCCCGCGGCTCCTCCCCCAGCTGGGGGGCGGCTCAGTCACCCTCCCCTGCTGTTCTCTGATTTCCCCCCACCCCCCGCCAAATCTTATTTTTTTTTTTTGTGGAGATATTAAACTATTTTGCTGATTTACAAAAGCCCGGGTCTTCCTTGGGGTCTTTGGGGGGTGTGGGCTGCGCCGTGGGGGGACGCCGGAGCTGGGGGCGGGGTTTGAGCCGGGGCTTCCCTCAGGGGGCACTCCCT